GAATCTGGCGCCCCGACCGGGACTAGAACCCGGTGTGCCGGCGCCGCAAGGCAGAGGATTAGCCTAGTGAGCCATGGCGCCGGCCTGGTGGTTGCTTTTAATAGCACCAAACAACTTCAAGAGAATGACACCTGTCAAGGCACAAAAAGAAAACTTTCAGCCCTGCTAAGCAATAAGGCTGAGATAGTCCGTTGGCAGGTCCAAGGGCTGTGTGTATTCCAGATGAAAACGTTCTAGAACATCACCAGTATTGGTTAGACAAGTCACTACCTGACTCCACGACTGGTGCAGATGCCCAGTGCGCAACAAGCCATCAAGGGCACTGGGGAAGGGTGCAGCTGCTGCTCAGCTCCCAGATTCCCCAAGGGATTAAGGCAGTGACCACTGGGGCCGGCATCATGGCGCAGCAGGTTAAGCTGCCTTGCAATGAAGCACTGGTACCAGTCCCAGAGGCCTCTGCCACACAGCAGCTGGAGCCTACAACAAAACCTGGCAAAGGACCCCATCCCAGCGTCCTGCCTATCACCCTGGGGAGTCGGATGTATGAACAGTGGGTGAGGTCCCTGATGGGGTGAGAAAGGTGCAAGGGCCGCCTGTGGCTTCATCAGGAAGGGTGAGGGAGGCCAGGGTGCCTGCAAGCCCGGAAGTGGGCCAACAACTCCCAGCTGCTTGCTCCTGGACCTATTGCTATTCCTGCCTCCTGGTCGGTTATTGTGAAGGGTAAACTTCACCCCACCCCGTTAGAGTACACCCTTCTGTCTTAGAAACACTGACTTCACATGCCCAGGTGCTAGCCTGGAGCTCAGAACTCAACCAAGACCTCCCATATAGATGTCAGAGAGGCAGCTACTTATATCATCAACTCCCGCTTCATGGTGTGCACCCTAATAAGGGACATAAAACCCAAGCCCCTAGTACACTAACATGCTGTGGGATATAACACATACCAGAATGCCAAGAACTTACCAACACACCATCTGAGGAAGCAGCAACTAAAGACAACAAGCAAAGGCACTGCCTGTTAAAGAATAGACTGTGAGCTCAGAGGTATGCCTGTAACAGCAGCTCCTTCTTAGGGCGACTGTAGCCGGCTGTTGGCAAGGGAGCAGCAGGCAGGACAGCCAGAGGCTGTCTGTCACAATATGGACTACAGTCCAAGAAGCACACCCGGAACTGCAGCATTTCCTCAGGGTGACTCGTCTGCGGTCCCAGAGTTCTCCCAGCCAGGTGATTCGCAACTCTGGGCGGGGCTGGGGGGGCATATCTGCCCTTCAGTTTAGGGGACTGCACCAAAAGCCCTCGGGCACCCTCCACACACTGCATGGCATGTGGGAGTCACAGTTGGCAGGATGCTGTGGGGGGTTTGGTTTTGTTAAATTTTTTAAAGATTTGTTTATTTATTTGAAACATAAAATCACAGAAAGGCAGAGGCAGAGAGAGAGAGAGAGAGAGAGAGAGAGAGAGAGAGAGAGAGGTCTTCCATTTGCTGGTTCACTCCCCAGATGGCCACAATGGCTGAAGCTGGGCCTATCCGAAGCCAGGAGACAGGAGCTTCTTCTGGGTCTCCCACACAAGTGCAGGGGCCCAAGGACTTGGGCCATCTTCTACTGCTGCTTTCCCAGGCACGTTCGTAGGGAGATGGATCAGAAGTGGAGCAGCTGGGACCCAAACTGGCATCCATATGGAATGCTGGCACTGCAGGCGGCAGCCTCACCCGCTATGCCACAGTGCTGGCCCCTCCACTGTGTTTTTGATTCGGTAGCAGCCAGAGGCCTCCTTTAAGATGTTTATCAGGGGCCAGCATTGTGACATAGCGGATTAGGCCACTGCCTACAACACCAGCATCCCCTATGTGTGCTGGGTCATGAGTCCTGCCTGCTCCACTTCTGATCCAGCTCCCTGCGAATGTGCCTGGGAAAGCAGCAAAACATGGCCTAAGTCCTTGGGCCCCTGCAGCCATGTGGGAGACCCGGAAGAAGCTCTTGGCTCCTGGCTTCGGATCAGCACAGCTCCAGCCATTGCAGCCATTTGGAGAGTGAACCAGCGAATGGAAGACCTCTCTGTCTCTCCCTCTCTGTGATTCTACCTCTCAAATAAATAAATAAATAAAATCTTAAAAAAAAAAATCAGAACTTTTAAAGAAAGGGCTGAGGAGTCTCAGAGCTCACCCTGCTGCCCATGCTCCAAGAGGGGTGAGGACCCCTGACCCCCTGGCTGTCCCCCAGGCTGACCCACTCCCTAGGAGCAGAGTCCCAGCTGCCATAGACCTCAATCCTGCACATCTCCCTCTCCCTCCGGCCCCTGGGGTGGCCCAGCTGGGCAAGGCAGCGCATGGCCGTGGGCCTCCCCAAACCACCGAAGAAGCAGCCTGGCCACAGCCACCCTCTGCCCTGACCACTGCGAGAGGCAGAGATGGGCACCCAGCCATGCCCAGCCCCACTCCGGCCACAGAGAAGCACCCACAGGGAACCCCCTCCCGTAGCCAGCCCAGGGCAGGAAGTGTGGATGTCCAACAACACTCGGAGGCAGGGGAAAGGGAAGACCCTGCCCTTGGCCACTCTCTTCCCCAAAGGCCTCAGATCCAGCCAGCAGGCCGCAGCCCCGGCCCTCGCAGCCCTCGTCCCGCCCAGCCCCAGGTTCCCTCCCCCAAGGACGCCCACACTTGAGACCCCTGCTTCCGGGTATCTCGGGCTCTCCCTCCCAGGACTTTGCTCCGGATGCCCACCCTATGCTCACACATCTGCCTCCCCACAGCGCCCAGGGCAGCCCAGGTGCCAGGCCCAGTGCAGCCCACGTCCTCTCCAGTGAGGGAGCCCAGAGGTGGGAGCTGAACCCAGGATCCTAACTCACAACCATGAGAAAGACCACAACACAGGTGTCTACAGAGCTGGCAGAAAGAACACCTCACGACTGGGCTACAAGATATGATCTCAGTGGGGCCTGTGTTGTGGTGAAGCGGATAAAGCTGCCACCTGCAGCACTGGCATCCTCTATGTCACTGGTTCAAGTCCCAGCTGCTCCACTTCTGATCTGGCTCCCTGCTAATGGCCTGGTAGAGCAGCAGAAGATGGGCCAAGTGCTTTGGCTGCTGCACGCACATGGGAGACCTGGATGAAGTTCCTGGTTCCTGGCTTCGGTATCTGGGGAGTGAGCCAGCAGATGGAAGATCTCGCTCTGTGTCTCTCCCTCTTTCTCTCTGTAACTCTTTCAAATAAATAAATCTTTTCTTTAAAAAAAAAATACAATCTAAGTTAATATTTTTTTAAAAAAGTATTTATTGCAAAGAATGCTGGACACAGTGTGGTGTGCGGCTGAGACCCGTGCGCTCTGGGGAAGCAGAACGCCGTCATTCAGGTGCCTCAATCATCACAGCCAAACCCAGCAGCCCACCAGGCCTGGCGCCGCCCACACAGAGGCCACACAGGGCCAAAGCTGGGGAGGGGGCTGCACCTTGTCCTGACCCCAGACCTCCCTCTGCCCTGTCCCAGCCCTGGTAACGCAGGAGTCCAGCAGCGCCTGCCTTCCCTCTGCACACACGGGGCCTCGGTGGGCTCGCCTCAGGGGACACCCACGTGGGTACCCCCTGCTGCTGACCGAAGGGACCCGTTATGGGGTGTGTCCAGGTGACCAAAGTCCCAGAACTTCGAGGGACACAGAGCTGAGGTCCCGCTTTCATGTCCCAGAGGCAGCAGTGGGGCCTCGGGCCCGGCCTGAGGGCAGGGGGCTCCGACAGGAGACGAGTCCCACAGGGGGCTCCCGCCCGGCCACGCAGCAGACTTTGCTCCACCTGCAGCCCTCATAGCTGCTGTCACCTCCACAGAGGCGACCGCCAGGCGTGGCCAAGGACGCTGACTTCTCGGGGAGGTGGCACCTGCAGAGAGCTCTGGGGCCAGGCTCTGTGTACAAAGCCAGCCTGGCCTCACCGCGGCCCACCAGTGGGGAGAGCAGAGCCCCCGGCTTCAAATCCACACACTTTCTGGCCCAGGCCCTTAACAGCCAGCCGGTCTGGTTGCCAGCTATCAAATGGGCACAGGCCCCGGGGCCTGGACCCAGAGGCACCACAGAGGCCAGACTTGCCAAGGCCATTGTCACCAGGCGCACAGCACCCAAGTGAACAACTGTGACGGGACTGGGAAAACGCTCCCTCCATGCGGGCTGCCTCCGTTCCCGTCCTCTCCGCTGCCTCAGCCCCTTAGGGAGAGGTGGACAAAGCCCAGGGCAGGTCTTACAGACCACAGCAGGCTCCCCGACCCAGCTGCACACATTCCCGCGTGCACACAGGTGGCCGCAGGTGGGAGGCCGCCTCCCCCCGGATGCCCATGTGCACAGCCGGGAAGGGGAGATGGGGCGGCCTCTCCCTTGAGCACTTGGGTGTGGGTACCATGAAGGGAATGCGTACAACTGCCCCATCTCACCGTGAGCGGCGGGGAGGGGCGGCCAGGGCCACCAGTACATGCACAGGGAAGGGGTGAGCCGTGGCCTCCTCCCGCAGGTTTTTGTCATCACAGCATGCAGGAGCCAGCACACTGCTTCCATGAGCGCCCACACATGTGAGCGACATGGACACTGGGGCCTGGCCATGCTGCCCCAGAGGCTCTGCCTTGGCTGCCACCCTGCAGCTCCCAGGGGGCCGTCCCTCTCTCGCACCTGCAGCAGCGGCAGCTCGGGGTCCCGTGATGACCTCTGGCACAGGAAGTGGCCATACGGAGGACAGCAGAGACCCAGCCAGGCCACCAGCGCCACTCCAGGCCGCCAGGCCACAGCAGCGACTTCCCGGCGAGCACTTTCTGTTTCACATTTGAGGGTTTCACAAGTCACAAAGCCACACGGTGAACAACGACAGCTAGGGGCTGTGACCGAGGGCCGGCGCAGGCCCGCCAGCCCAGCCTGCACACACGCAGAGCGGCAGGTCGGTGCCCGGCCTGCTGTGTCGCTGTCAACAAGGAGGCAGGCTGGTGGGGGCTCTGGGGGCCACCAGCCATGCCTGGTTTCGAGAATGTTCCTGCACGGTGTCACACAGACTGAGGGCGTCTGGAATGCTCGTGTGCAGAGATCCACGCCTGCCCAGGGGTCACAGCAGACAAGGCCGTCACTGGTGAGCGGGAACTGTGACGAGGGCTTCCTCCGGAGGCCTCGAGATGTCCACATTCTGCACAACAATAAAGACAGACAGCGCTGACCCTCAGGGTACAGGGTCAAGACCTTGCACAGGGGTCGGCACTGTGACATAGTGGGTGGGCTAAGCCTCCACCTGCAGTGCCAGCATCCCATATGAGCACCGGTTCACGTCCTGGCTGCTCCACTTCCAGTCCAGCTCTCTGCTATGGCCTGGGGAAACAGTGGAGGATGGCCCAAGTCCTTGGGCCCCTGCACCCACGTGGGAGACCCAGAGGAAGCTCCTGGCTCCTGGCTTTGGATTGGCTCAGCCCTGGCTGTTGTAGCCGTTTAGGGAGTGAACCAGTGGATGGAAGATCTCTCTCCCTCTCTCTATTTGTAACTCTACCTCTAATAATAATGATCTTAGAAATAAAAAACAAAAAAAAAACCTTGGACACAGGACAAGGCAGGGTGTGTGTCCCGGCCAGGGCTCCCCCAGCACGGGAGGGCCGGGCTTAGGCTTGCACCCTCAGCAGCAGGGGCAGCGAAGGGGCTCAGCTCCCAGGGGTCTCCTCCCTGGCTCTAGGCGTCAGGGGACGGTGTTGGCTGTAGCCCATCGTGGAGGGCACCAGGTATGACTGCGCCCCAGGAGCCTTCTCGGAGCAGTGGCCTCTGGGAACCGGGGCTCTCGTGGGAAGCCCTGCCTTGCCCTGTGGAACAGTCACCACAAGGGCACTGAGAGGACTGCTCTTCTGGAAGATGGTGGCTGCCCAGTGCAGGGCCCTAACACACGGTCCTGTCCTAGTCCTTAAAGCTGCCCGGGTCAGAAAAGGTGTTCAAGAGGCCTAGAGCTGGGAGGCCAGGGAAGGAGCCCTGCCCGCCCCTGCAGCCTCCAGCCATTCGCAGCCTCGTGGGCCCAGACCGCTGGGCTGGGGCTGCTGTGCAGCCAGCCACACCCAAGCTCAGGTGCTTCCTGGGCTGCTGGCCCAGGGGACTTCCCCACCCCCGGGGCACCTGATTTTGGGAAGCACCTGACCCAGCCCATACCAGGGGCCACAGCTCCCTCTGGCAGTGCCCCTGCTGGGCCTGGCCCCACAGACACGGTGTGTGGGCACCCCAGGAACCCGCCCAGCACCCCAGCAGTGACCCTGCTACCTGAGGCCTGTCCCGGTGCGTGTTCACAGCCGCCACATTCAGGAATATGGACTCCACTTTACAGCCTGCCAAAGGGGACAGGCGGGTGAGCTTCTCACGAGTGGCTGGGCGTCACTGGATGGAGTCCTTCCCCCTCCCTCACAGCCAGCTCTGTGAAGCCCCATGCAAGATATCGGGAGGCTCCCAGGCAGCTCCTCACCCCGCGGCCATGAGCGGCTGCAGCAGCCACAAGCCGGCAGGGGCCGCTCCCAATCGTCGGGACCCCAGTGCCCCACACCCCACTGGGCCACACAAGGCTCTGTGCAATGGGACACCCGGTGGGTCCATTGGCTGCCACGGAGCTTCAGTCCCTCTCCCTAGAGCACCTGTGATGCAGGGGAGGGCTGACCCAGGGGTCTCGGGCGGGCAGCAACATCTGGAATGTTCTACAACCCCGGCCCTGTTGAGTGCTGCATGGGTTTTGGGGAGAAGCCCCTCTCCCAGGTGGGCCATGGTCAAGGAAGGATGCCGGGGAGGTTCCCTGAGCCACAGCTGTGTTGACGACACACCTGCAAATTGGGAAGGTGTGTGTGTGTGCGTGTATGTGTGTGTCGGGGGATGGATTCTTTATGGGATTTTCAGAAAACAACAAGATCCCACAAAGAGCCAAGGCCATGGCAATGGAAGGCCAGAGTGCGGGAGGTTTCCTTACCGTAAGCCACGGGGGTCAGCTTCAGGACTGTGTGCAGCGGGCATTTGAGGTAGGGCAGCTGTTCTGTGGACACAGAGGGGGAGGCTGGCATGCCAGGGGTGCTCAGTGACAGTCCCTCCCCCCAGCCCTGCCCCAGGGCCAGGCCTGCACCTGCCGCCTTGTCCAGGAAGTAGGCCAGGAGGCAGCGCATCACGGCCTGGTGGCAGATGACCAACACGTTCTCCTGCCGCTCCAGCTCCATGATGACAGGCTCCAGTCGCTGCACCAGGTCCTCATAGGACTGCAAGGGCAAGCAGGGGGCGGTCCCTCAGGCCTGGCTGCCGGGGTGGGGAGGAAGGCCACCGTCCCGCTCCTGGCCCCCTCCCCATTCTGGCAGGCTAAGCACAGGGTGGGCAGCTGCTCCAACAGGACTGCAGCAGTGAGACACCAGGCTGAAGCAGGAAGCTGCGGGTGTGTGGTGGGGGAGCCTGAGGCCTTGGCCGGAGCTCTGGGGATTTCAACCCCTGCACACAGCCAGGTCCTCAGGCGCTCAGGCTGAGTCTGCCCGATTCCTGCCTGCTCTGGCTGCAAAGCGAGGCCTGCAGGGACTGCTGGCCCTGGTGGCGCCGGGGAAAGCCCAGATCAGGTCTTTCGGAAACCGTCACTTTCTGACCCGTGTTCTCCCTGCGTTCTCAAGCTAGAGCACCCAGCTGCCGGCTCTCCGCTATCTGGGCTGGTCTCAGCTCCGGTGCAGGCAACAGTGCCGCCCAGAGCTACATGATCCCCCGGGATGGGCCGGTGTGGGGGCTGTGAGCCCGGCGTCTGGGTGGGGGTGCTTCCAGGTCTGTGTATGTGTGTGTACATCTGGGTGGGGGTGCTTCCAGGTCTGTGTATGTGTGTGTATGAGTGCGCACACGTGCACCTTGGGGGCATTTTAATATGGCCACTCCCCAGAGCACGTGGAAGAAGGCAGAGATGCAGGGTCAAAGGTGACCAAAGTGTTTGACCTGGGGCCTGGGCTGAGCAGGGAGCCTGCGCAAGGGTAGGTGACAAGGGCAGACTGCATGTGGGTGCCACGGGCCCTCTGCGGAAGGTCCCCTTGGGTCTGGAACCAGAGGTGGGGTCAGTGCCTGGAGTGGCAGGGAGGACAGGGTCGCTCTATGATGGGGGACGCGTCCAGGAGGACGGGGCTCAGAGACCTGGGTCTCATGCTGACTCCTAGGGTGCCCTAGAAAGCGCCGACAGCTCCCTGTGAAGGGGCCAGCCTGCGGACGCAGGGGAACAGAAACTACCCACGGGATCCCTGGAGAGCTGGACCCCACGAGCCAGACTCGGCTCAGGCCCTGCCCTTCCTAACCCTCCACCGTGGGAAGGGAATGAGGAGTAGGATCTGCTGGGTGCACGCCAGGTGCCTGCCCTGTGCGTCACATCCTCTCTCCACCCAGGGAGGGGCAGAGGCCTGGGCCGCACAGCTGGGCAGCAGAGGGGGAGCACGCCCCCAGCAGGCCCTGCCGAGGCCAGGCCCCCTCCGCTGCCCACACAGCCCCTGCAGGGCCCCCACAGACCCGCAGCCACAGAGTGCACTCGGGAGACAGGCAGCCCCCGGTCCCACCTACCTCCCCCTTGGGGTACCGGTACCGGTACTTGTCCTGGTCCCGCAGGGCGAACTCCAGTGGATAATGATCTTGAATTTCCTCGTAGGTCATCTCCTCACAGACACCCTAGGGGACACACTCGGTCATCACAGCTCTGGTGCCAGGCACGGAGGCTGGCCTTGTTCAGGGCAGCAGCAAGTGGAGACCAGGCTTATGGGGCATTTCCTGGGTGATGCCTGGAGCTTAGAAACCAGGAGGAGAGCAGGCCCTGGGGCACACTGAGCCCTGGGCAGCCCCGTGTTTGTAAAAGCAAGTTCAACAGTCCGTGCCCCCACAGGACTTTCTTCCTGTGCTGGGGAAACCCTGTTTCTGAGTACAGACAATTGTGTAAAGTATACAGCAGGACATCACTGTGCCATTTGGGACACACGTACACACACACACACACACGCACACTCACGGCACCTTCTACAGATGCCACTACAAGGATAGAGAAGAATACTTAACACTCGCACTGGGCACTAAAGGCCCAGGGAGGCCCAAAGCAAGCGGGGCTGGAACGTCATGAGCCACGACCACCCCGCCCCACAGCACGGCCTGAGCAGCGTCCCACACCGCTCCCCTTGGCCTCCGAGTTCATTCCTCCGCCCAGGAGCCCAGGAATGCCTGAACTTATGAGTTCAGGCCAAGACACGCACAGGGCAGCCACACCCAGGGAGGGAGACAGGAAAACGCCCTCAGCCTTTGTCCCAGGCTTTTCCTACAAGGCCTTAGGGGCAAAACTGTCTAAGAAAGACAAAGATGCAAAGTTACAGCTGTGAGTGCCACCAGGGGCGGGCACTGGGGCACTGTGGGTTAGGCTGCTGCTTGGGACGCCCACATCCTGCATCAGAGTGCGGGCCAGGTCCTGCCTGCTCGGCTTCTGATCCAGCTTCCTGCTAATGTGCCCAGGAAGCACACACATGTATATATGTGCTATATGTGTGTGTGTGCCCCCCTCCCCCTCCCTCTTCCTCTCCCTCTCCAACATATGTATATATACATGTGTGTGAGTATGTGTGTATATATATGTACATATGAATATATATATATATGATTCTTTGAAAAGCTCCATAAATACAAACCTATTTTAGCTAGACTGACTGAGGGGAGAAAAAGCCCCCAATAAAAAGAGGAGGCAGTACTGCCAGCCTTCCAGAAACAAGGCAGATTGCCAGGGCCTACCACTACAGACAGCTACATTCCAACAAGCTAAATAACCTAGGGGAAAGGGGAAAATTCCTAGGAAGGCAGCCACTACCTGCTGCGGGTTGAACTGTGTCCCCCAGGGAGGTACACTGAAGACCTACTCCCCGGGAGCTGCGAATGCCAACTGGAGGCTGCGGTAGAGACGCGGGAAGGAAACGCGACCCGGCGAAGGCCCCAGAGGAGGTGAAGAGCGTGGCGGGATGGCAGAGAAAGCTCCCGGTGTCTGAGCAAACACGGCTATCCTCGTGAGCGGAGGGCTCACAGCAGCACCAGCGAACTAGAGGCGCTTCTGCCAGGCCTCACTGTCTACCTTCCAAATCACAGCAGACAGCGTCTACTCAGAAAAACTGAAATAAAAACTGTAGGATACTGAAAACACGATCAGGCGATATTAACAGAATAAATGTGCGTCGTTTTAGATCCCTCAGTGAAAACCGCTCTTAGGTTAGGCTAAACAAACAAAAAAAAACAAAACAAAAAATACTCCTTTCACATAAAGAAAGTAACAAAAGAATAGACACTTAGCCTAGCAGCTAAGCGGCTTATATTCTGGGCAGGTTCTGTGCACAGCAGGTTAAGCCACCACCTGTGATGCCAGCATCTTACGTCAGAATGCTGGTTCGGGTCCCGGCTGCTCTGCTTCTGATCCAACTCCCTGCTGGTGCCCCTAAGAGGACAGCAGAGGACGGCCCGGGGGGTTGGGCCCCACATCCATGTAAGAGACCTGGGTAGAGTTCCAGGCTCCTGGCCTTTGCCTGGCCCAGATCTGACCCTGTGGCCATCAGGAGTGTGAAAAAGCAGTTGGAAGATTTCTTTCTTAGTATCTCCCTCTAAGTCTGTCATTCTGCCTGTCAAATAAACAGTCAATCTTAAACAGACAAACAAGACAGTTGCATCACATAGCGGAGGACCTGGGTTCAATTCCCGGCTTTGGCACCAGCTCAGCCTTGACTGTTGGAGGCATCTGAGGAGTGAGCCAGCAGATAGGAGCCCTCTCTGTCTGTCTGTCTCTCTGACTCTTTTTATACCTATCTCTCAAATAAATAACTCCTCTTAAAAAAGAAAGAAAATGATACAAAAAGTTTAAAAATAAAAGGGAAGAAATAAAACAAAAGTGTGGATAAAAGGCAGAGAAGGCAAATCAAAATCACAGTGAGGTGCTACCTCACATCCAGTAGGGGCCACTATTAAAAAAAACAAAACAAAACAAAACAAAACAAAAAACCAGAAAATAAGCCGGCACCGCGGCTCACTAGGCTAATCCTCTACCTGCGGTGCTGGCACACTGGGTTCTAGTCCCGGTTGGGGCGCCAGATTCTGTCCTGGTTCTCCTCTTCCAGGCCAGCTCTCTGCTGTGGCCCGGGAAGGCAGTGGAGGATGGCCCAAGTGCTTGGGCCCTGCACCTGCATGGGAGAGCAGGAGAAGCACCTGGCTCCTGGCTTCAGATCGACGCAGCTCCAGCCATGGTGGCCATTTGGGGGGTGAACCAACGGGAGGAAGACCTTTCTCTGTCTCTCTCTCTCACTATCTAACTCTGCCTGTCAAAAAAACAACAACAACAAAACAGAAAATAACAGTGTTGGCAAGGATGTGGAGAAACTAATATTTGTACAGCGCGAGTCCAGGAGTCCAGAGTGGGAGAAAGAGTGACAGAAAATATAGGAAGAAATAATGTCAAAAATGTTCAGATTTTAGAGACCCAGAAATCTAAGAATTTTAATGAACCCCCAAGCAGGATAAACAAAGAGAACCATACCAAGGCACATTATAATCAAATTGCTGAAAATCAGTGATAAAAGAGAAAATATTAGGGGCCGGCAGCGCTGTGGTGTAGCAGCCTAAGCCTCTGTCTGCAGTGCCAGCATCTCATAAGAGCATGGGTTCAAGTCCCAGCTGCTCCACTCCCAATTTAGCTCTCTGCCATGGCCTGGGAAAGCAGTGGAAGATGGCCCAAGTCTTTGGACCCTTGCAACCACATGGGAGACCTGGCTCCTGACTTCGGATCAGCCCAGCTCTGGTTGTTGTGGCCATCTGGAGAGTGAACCAGTGGATGGAAGACCTCTCTCTCTCCCTCCCTTCCTCTGTAACTCTACCTCTCAAATTAATAAATAAATCTAAAAAAAGAGAAAAAATATTAAAAGTCATCAGAGAAAAAGATGTATCATAGATACAGTATGTACAGCACAGAGCTGGGAATGCTTCCTATAGCAACAATGCCACCCAGAAGACAATGGAGCAGCATCTATTTAGAAAACTTTCCTTATTTACTTCTTTATTTATTTGACAGAGAGACAGCGTTCCCAACCCCCAGTTACTCTCCAAGTGCCAGCAATGGCTGGGGTTGAGCCAAGCCAGGAACCAGGAACTCATCCAAGTCTCCCATTCAGTGGCAGGAACCCAACTACATGGGTCATCGCCTGCTGTCTCCCAGGGTACATGTTATTAGGAAGCTGGAATCTTAGAAGCAGGCTAGGACTTGAACTCAGGCACCCTGATACGGGGTGAAGGTGTCCCAGTGGGCGGCTTAACTGCTCGGTCAAATACCCAGCCCCAGAACAGCAGCTTGCAAGAGCTAAGGCTTTGCTATTCCACCTCACTGGGGCTTCCAGATCCCTCTCCCCTGCCCCCTGCTCTCTCCTGGGTGACCGCTGTGGACTACACCCACAAGGCTCCCTTGGCCCATAACTTCTGGCTGGACTGGGTCACGGGGAACCTGGCGGGAGGCCCAGAGAAGGAGGAGAGCATGGTTCAGAGTTTCACTCCTGGGCTCCCCCTGCAGAGCTGCTCTCAGGCCTCAGTCCTCCCCAAGGTCCCGCCCCATCAGGTTACCCCTTCCATGCTGCCACCCCACCCCCCCAGGAGGCTGCATCCCCTGGCTCCTGGCTCCAGTCCCAGGGTCAACAAAGGGCAGGAGCTCTCTGGTTGCCTGCACCCTGCCCACATATTTGTAAACAGTCCCTTCATAAACCTTCATTGCATTAACCTAATTGCAGTGGCCATCTGTTTCCTTTTATGTCTCACAAATTCCTAAGTCATGAGCTTTTGATTACTTCATAACAAAGCATCGAAATATGTTAAAAAAACAAAAGAATAAAATATGCAATGCAATAGCTAGAAATGCAAGAAAAACAAAGAAAATCTTAAGCATGGAGTGTCCTCTAACATCCAGCTGTTGATTGATGATGATCAAGCGGAAGAAAATTAAGGACACAAAATTTGAACGATATGATGAAAGCAGCTGAATGAGCTATACATATGCAATTTTTCTTACGGGAGCTTTGAGCCACACAGAAAAGCAGAGACAACACTATGATGAACCCACACACCCACTCCTGTCCAAAATATTACCAACACACAGGTAATCGCATTCATCTAAACACCCGTGGCCCCACTCCCCAAGCAAGTGGGTTACTTTGCAGACAATGCTAATATGACTCAGCGATGGAGAGTGAATGGGAAAAGGCTGATGGTAGAATCTGGAGCCGGGGTTTCATCACGTTTAAACTTGCTTTAAAATAACCCGGTTGGGTATAAGCATGGAAGAGCTGATGCAGGCCGCACGTTGAACATTGCTAAGGCTGGTATTGGGTACATGGGGATTCACGATAATAGTCTCCTTATTTTTATATATAATTTACATTTTCTATAATACAGTTTAGGGGCCGGTGCTGTGGTCTAGCGGGTAAAGCCACCACCTGCAGTGCCAGCATCGCATATGGGTGCTGGCTCTAGACCCAGGTGCTCCACTTCTGATCCAGCTCTCTGCTATGGCCTGGGATAGCAGTGGAAGATGGCCCCTGCACCTGCATGGGAGACCTGGAAAAAGCTCATGGCTTCTGGCTTTGGATTGGTGCAGCTCTAGTTGTTGCAGCCACCTGGGCAGTGAACTAGCAGACAGAGGATCTCTCTCTCTCTTTCTCTGCCTCTGCCTCTCTGTAACTCTGCCTTTCAAATAAATAAATAAGTAAATCTTTAAATAAATAAAGTTTAAAAAACAAAACAGGAACGTGATAGGCCAACGCTCACCATTCCAAAAGGACGGGAGCCTGAGGGGCAAGCCCATTAAACTAAGACCAGGCCGGAGGTGAGGTGGCGTTTAGGGGTAAGCCACCACCTGTAGCGCTGGTATCCCATATGGGGGCTCGTTTGAGCACTGGCTGTTCTACCTCCAAACCAGTTCCCTGCTAATACCCCTGGGAAAGCAGTGGATGGTGGCCCAAATGCTTGGGGCCCTGCCACCCACCTGGGAGACGAGATGAAACTCCTGGCTCCTGGCTTCAGGCTGGCCAACCCTGGCTATTGCAGCCATTTGAGGAATGAACCAGCAGATAAAAGATCTTGCTATTCCCTACCCCACCCTGTAACTCTGCCTTTCAAATAAATGAACTAAATCTTATTTAAAAGAAACAAGAGAAAAAAAAAAAAAACAAGGACATTAGATTTGCCCATCAATAAAGTATTCTTGTCAATGCAAGAGTAATAAATGATAATAAAACACAAGGTACATGACCGGCAAGGCCACACCTGGACGATCCTGATCTCAGAAGGCAGCGCCTCAAGAGAATCCAAGAGAACAGACGGAAAAGCCACTAGGGCAGAAGAAGCTGGCTGTGGGTTTTCTGTGAACCAACAATACCCAGAGAAAATACACATAAACAGTGCTCAAATCCACCCGCTCTTCTCTCTCTGTCACCACCCAAGTGCCAGGTGTCAGCACCCTACCAGGCCGCGGCAAGCCCCCCACTAGGTGTCAGCACCCTACCAGGCCGTGGCAAGCCCCCCACTAGCACCTTCTCCAGGCTGCCCCTGCCTGGCCCCAACAGCCATTCTCAGCACCGTGGGCCTGACAGTCAACACCAACCAGGTTCTCCCCAGGATCCACCTCTGATCCCTTCCCAGACTCCTGCTGCAGGCAGTGTTTCCAATGGTGACAGTAAGAGCAGCCAGAACAGCTGTGCCAACAAACGCCTGAATCTGGTAGACACATCATGGAGCAGAGAGGGAAAGAGGACTTGGGAGCCGGGACCTCTGGGCACAGGGAGCCCCACGGTGAGCCCAGTGCACAGCATTTCTGTTTCCAGAAGCTGAGCAGGAAAGAGGCCCAGGCAGGCAAGGGCTTGGCAGAGCTGCCAGCAGTCGTGGGTTTCCGCCAGAAGCCTGGAGCAGGAGTGACCTGACAACCAAGGAGGCGCCGCAAGCACCAGAGCCCGGCTCTGCAGCAGCTCCCTGGATGAGGGTGATCCCGACCCCATGTCCCACAGCAGAAGGAAACGCTCCTGAGAGAGGCGACGTTAGCCAGAGCCTCAGAGCCTCACAAAGGCTCACACAAAATGTCCACACTCAATTAAAAATCACCAGAAATGCATCAGACCCCAAATTCATAATGAACTCTTAAAAATCGGGGCACGCGTTGTGGCACAGCCCCAAGTGCACGTGGGGTTGAGTTCTGCTTCTGCCTTCCCTCCAGCTTCCTGCTAATGTGCATCCTGGGAGGCAGCAGACGATGGCTCAAGGACCTGGGCCCGCGTCAGCCATGTGGGAGACCCAGATGGATCCCCGGCTCCGGCTTCAGTGCATAAAAGCTCTCACGGTTACACGCGACACAAGACCTCTGTCTCTCTCTCATTCTGTTTTTCAAACCAACCAACCAACCAACCAACAAATAAATCTTTTATCATTAAAAAAAAGAACTCTTAAAAATCAACAAGAGAAAGCGAGACAATCTAACAGGCAGGGGGAAAAGGGGCAAAAGCTCACGAGACATCCAGATGCTCAGAACCACGGTCGACTACCTAATTAAGACAGGAGACTGCTGGTGGACATGACACAGACACACATCATACATGCTAAGAACCTCACGGGAAGGAAAGTAGAATAAATAACAAACAAAGGACACATATTCGGTTAGTAATAAGCTAACTGGAAAAAGATTAGATTGAAGGCCTCTGTCAGAACAGGGTGGTCTAAGTAGCTAAATGAAAAAGACAGGGGGAGCGTTTACCCCAGCAGCTAAGACACCCGTGTGCCAGGGTTGGTGCCATTTCGTAGTGGGTAAAGCCACAGCCTGCGATGTCTACACCCCTTATGGGTGCCAGTTTAGTCCCTGCTGCACTTCCCATCCAGCTCCCTGCTAATGCACCTGGGAAAGCAGCAGAAGGTCCAAGTCTCTGGGCTCTTGTACACATGTGGGAGACTCGGATAAAGCTCTTGGCTTCAACCTGGCCCAGCTCCAGCCATTGAGGCCATTTGGGGAGTGAACCACCAGAGGGAAGATCTCTCTAACTCTGCCTGTCAAATAAAACAAATAAATGTTAAAGAGAGAGAGAGAGACCTGTGTCCCATATCAGAGTGCCTGGCTCTGGCTCCTGACCCAAGGAGGCAAAGCTGATGGCTCCAGCAGTTGGGTTCCTGCCACCCATGTGGGAAATCTAGGTTGAGTTCCTGGTCCCAGGTCTGACCCCAACCAAACCCTGGCCATTGTGAACTTCTGAGGAGTGGACCAGTAATGAGAGGTCTTTCTCTTTCTGTCTATAAAATTTTTAAAAAGAAAGAGGACGAGAGGAAAGGAAGGAAGGAAGGAAGGAAGGAAGGAAGGAAGGAAGGAAGGAAGGAAATAAATAAATTCTGGAGGAAGTGTTCTGCGGCCCTCGGCACCGTCACGGCAGGTGAGCACAGCTGGGCCCCGACTCGGGGTAGGGGGCGGGGGGGGGGGGGGCAGCAGAACAGGAATTACCGCATCAATCTCGTTGAGGACCTTCCACTGCTCGTAGGGCACACCCAGCGCCTCAGCTGTCTGGATCGTTCTCTTCATCTGGCTTGTCCACACCTTCAGGTCCTTGATGTTCTGATCACTGATGAACTGGGCCAGGCTCTTAGCAAACTGGAACACAGCACAGGCAAGCTCAGACCCACAGGTTCAACATGGGTGCCAGTTTGAGACCCAGCTGCTCTACTTCCGGTCCAGTTGCCTGCTGTGTGCCTGGGAGAGCAGCAGAGGGTGGCCCAAGTGCCTGAGCTCCTGCACCTATGCGGAGACCCAGAGGAAGCTTCAGGCTCCTGGCTCCGGCCTGGCACAGCCATGACCACTGTGGCCACCTGGGGAGTAGAACAGTGATGGAAGAACTCTTTCTGTCTCTCACTCTCTCTAACTCTGCCTTTCAAATAAAGAAATCTTAAAACAAAACAAAACAAAAAATCAAAAACAGAGTTAGAGAGAGTGAGAGAGCCAGAGAGAGGATCTTCTACCTGCTGGCTCATTCCCCAGATGGCCACAAAGGGCCACGCTGGGCCAGGCCAAAGCCAGGAGCCAGGAGGTTCATCTGGGTCTCCCATGTGGGTGGCAGGGGCCCAAACACTCGAGTCATCTTCCACTGCTTTCCCAGGCCATCAGCAGGAAGCTGGACTGGAAGTGGAGCAGCTGAGGCACAAACCAGCACCCAATGGGATGCTGGTATCCCAGGCAGGGGGGTTACCCACTGTACCACAGTGCCATCCTTGTGCAGACCCCCCAGACCCTGCGTGCAGGCCAAGTGAGGATTCATCAGGTGACCCCACCTCAAACCATGTGCCCTGGCCACACAACCTGCCCACAGCTCCCTTCCTTGGACTGTGAGAGAGCCACCAGCCACACAGTGCAGACTCAGTCCCCTTCAGGGGCGGCACGGCTCTCCAAGAAAGGGCTCTGCTGGTGACAGCTTACAGGGAGACCTTCCCTACAGGGTGTGAACATTCTAGACTGCGTGAAGATCATCTACCCAGATTGCACAGAGCTGTAAGACCGGGAGCCTGGTCCCAACACACACACATGAGTACACATACCCAGCCACCAGTGCACAGACAACTGACCTCCCTGCCACGGGGGGACAGCCCCGGGTCCCCACCAATCCGGCCCTTGAGGTTGAGCTCGCTTTCCCCATGCCGGCAGAGGTAGATGGAGCGCGGGGTCACGTGGATGTTCATGAGGTAATACACGATTCGGCTCTGGATGTGGTCAGCCACGCGGTTCACCACGTAGCTCTGCCCCACGTCCATGATCTTGATGTAGGACAGGTCCCTTTCCAGAGAGAAGGAGAGGTCTGTGAATGCGGCCCAGGCCCTCAGGGGCACGCCTGGCCCGCCCGCCCCAGGAGCCAGCTGCAAGGCCTTGCATCACCTGGTGTGAGCCCACAGCACGCAGGACTGGCAGCCGGGGAGAGAGTGCTGGGAGTGAGGCAGGAACAACACAACGTGTGTGACACAGACAAAGCCGGTGAGACGTGCTCAGCACTCATCATGCTGCCCAGGTGGGGGTCAGTCGTGACTTCCTGACCCTCGTGTGGCCCCAGGCCCCCTCTCACCTACCTCAGAGCTCTCACCGCACTGTCTGCAAGGGAATCAAGAGACAGATTTCCCCAGGGTGGCCCCGGAAGCAGCAAACACTCCTGCCCCTTCCCCACCTCATCAGCTCACTACGGACCTGGGCTCTTCTTCCCCAGGACTCCCTGGCCCTGGAACCTGGTCCAGGTCATCTGTATATGCCAAGTCGTTGCCACACCCCAGCCCGGCAGCTGGGGCCAGAACAGGAAGCGGAGGAGGAGGTGCCGGGCAGCCGCCACTACCATCCCCGCCCGCCACCTTCTCGGCAACGCTGGAGAGCCTGTGGGTGTGTGTCGCAGTGCAGGGGTGGCTCCGGTCAACCCTGACACGCTCTGGATCCTCTCATTTCTGCACTGAGGGGGACCTCAGTTAGGGGTTTGCAAACATTTTGTATGAAAATCAGCTTATCTGTTAATTCTGTTTTTCACCCACTTCTGGGAGTCCCCCTGAGCCATCCCTCCCCAGCTGCTGGTTTCCTTGGTCCCGAGCATCGCCTACTGCTCCAGGATCATGGACGACCAGGCGCAAGGCTGCATTCCCGCCCAGCACTCCACGCTGTACTACACGCTCGCCCCAGTCTCTCCGTATCATGAATTACCACGGCTGTGTAACGTCTGCCAAGGGCTACGCTGTTATTTGCTTAACCATTGCCCCATTTATGCTGAGACGGGAGTTGGCAAACCATGGCCAGCAGGTCAAAGCCAGCCCGCAGGCTGCTTGTATAAAGTTTTATTGGAAGACAGCCCTGCTGACTGATTTAATTATTATGTTTCCTTTGCACCACATCGCAGAGCTGAGTAACTGTCAAAGGAACGCCCACCCTTCAAGCCTAAACAAAATGTCCCCCTTCCCACCCTTTACAGGTGCCAACCCCTGGTGATGGGCCCTCAGCTGAACCCTCCTTAGGGGCCGACAGACCCCTGACCACCCAGCATCTGATTGCTCTTCCATTCCAGAGGGAGACAAGTGGAGGTAGCAAGACCCAGCCACTGCCTGCTCTCCCTCTTCCCAAAAACCAGGCTGAACATTTAGAGAAATGCATATGGGGCCGGCGCTGTGGCTTAGCAGGCAAAGCCACCACTTGTGATGCTGGCATCCTATATGGGCACCTGTTTAAGAACCAGCTATCCACTTCTGATCCAGCTCTCTGCTAATGGCCTGGGAAAGCAGCAGAAGATGGCCCAAGTCCTTGGGGTGGGAGACCCAGAGGAAACTCCTGGCTCCTGGCTTCAGTCTGGCCCTGGCTGTTGTGGCCATTTGGGGAGTAAACCAGCAGATGGAAGACCTCTCTCTCTCTCTCTCTCTTTCTCTCTCTTGCTGTAACTCTGCTTCAAAAAGATAAAATATTTTTTAAAAGATGAAAAAATGGCCGGTGCCACGGCTCAATAGGCTAATCCTCCACCTGTGGCGCCGGCACACTGGGTTCTAGTCCCAGCTGGGGCGCCAGATTCTGTCCCGGTTGCCCCTCTTCTAGTCCAGCTCTCTGCTGTGGCCCAGGAGTGCAGTGGAGGATGGCCCAAGTGCTTGGGTCCTGCACCCACATGGGAGACCAGGAGGAGCACCTGGCTCCTGCCATCGGATCAGCGCAGTGCGCTGGCCGAAGCAGCCATTGAGGGGTGAACCAATGGCAAAGGAAGACCTTTCTCTCTGTCTCCCTCTCACTGTCCACTCTGCCTGTCAAAAAAAAAAAAAAAAAAAAAAGATGAAAAAATAAAGAAACGTATGTCAGTTTGCAAATGTCTTGTGGGAAGACCTCTGCACAGAAGCCAAGCTTGATGCTAGGATGGACTCGCAGGCTTCCAGGTGAGGCAACAGGCCTTCTGCAAGTCACCTCTGGCCGACGACTTCCGCTCCAAGCAGAGAACTGAAAAAGGTCATAGCACCTCTGCTGCAGCCACCACCAGAGGGAGCCACAGGAGGCGGCCAAGAAGGAGCTGGCCCTGCCCAGCGGGCGGCAGCACAGGCACCATCCTCACTCACCTGTCCAGGTCCTCGTCCAGCGACTCGTACGAGTTCTCGTAGCACTCGATGCGCCTCATGAAGTCCTCGGTGGCCTCGTCACTGTCGCGGTTGACGTAGTCGGGGCTGCCCAGTTTGACTTGCTGCCAGAGCCGGGCACAGAGCAGGGACACATCAGGACGGAGGCCAAGGAGACTGCTGGGCAGCGGGTGGGGGGCCTGAGCCTGCAGGCTGCCCTGGGGGAGCTGCTCCCATGGGGGAGACCCGCAGCTCCCCAGCCTGCGCTCTCACACTGGAGCCCTGAGGTCCAGGCCTCCGCCCTCGTGGCATCCAGGGGGCTGGAAGCCGTTTGCCACCCTGAACATCTCCCCAAGCCCTGACAAATGGGGTGAGGGGGAGGACCCATCTCTCTCCCTTTCCCAAAGCCCTTCCCACTGCCCAGGGGATTGTGAGTGGGGAGGAGGCTCCCGCCTAACACTGCACGGCCTCTCCTCCCCCAAGGCTCAAGATCAAGTTAAGGGCAGCCCAGGCCCCAGCCCCAGCTGGGAGAGGGACCTCACTGCCACAGGCCGCCTTCTGGGGTATCACTGCCCCCAGCACTCACCACGATGTTGGCAGCTATGACCTCAGGATCCACACAGATGGATTCGACAAAAAAGGTCTGCAGCGAAGACCAGACGTGGCAGCACGGGCAGCAGGGGGGGAAGCAGGGACACACTCAGGGCTGGGGCCCGGCTCCGTGATCTCCACTGTGCCGGGCCCTGGCCCTGCCTCTGGACGTGGAGGCAGGGCTGCCACAACCCCGACCCCTGGGAGGGAAAGCTCAGGCGGGAAGAGCGGTCCCCGTCATCCCGAATGCCGGTTGCCCAATGCCTGGCGTGCATCAGGCGGCAGAGAAATGAGGCCTGGAGGGCCCGGCAGTGCCACAGCTCAACCAAGGAGGGCAGCGCGGAGGCCTCACCTTGTAGCCATTCTGCTCCCCAAAATTAAAGATGGTTGCTCTCCTTTCTCGGGTGGTATTTGTTGCGTCAAAAACCTAGAAACAAAGAGTTCTTTTGGCCTCCAGCCCTGGAGCTGGCCTGGCGAGACCCCTGCAGGCCCAGGATGCACCTCTGAAAAGAGGGAGGGGTGGAGAGGAAATGGGAGGGCTGGCTGGGGGGCTGACAGAGCAGCTGGGACCCAGCACCGACCCATTTGGGGCTCTTTGTGAAGTGCAGGGCCTGCCCAAGGCCCCTCTGGTGCAGCCCACTCACAGGCAGTGCAAGCAGCCTTCACAATACCAGTTTTTAAAAAGGGAATTCAATCAAAGCTCACCAGATGTTCCGTCAAAACCCCCGACAAAAAGAACAGGGACCAAATCAGACAGACAGACAAAGAAAAAAAAAACAACTTGGAGAAAATGGAGACCAGGCATGGAACAGAAGAAAACATAAACAAACAAACTGGAAAACCCCTTACGGTCACCCAAAGATGGTTAAACAGGACAAGGTAAGCATGAAACAAAAGCAGAGTTCTAAAAACTGGAACACTCAGATCAAGAAATGTAACATGTGATCACAGCCATTTCTTTTTTTTAGACAGGCAACCAAATATGTGTGAGATAATGTTGAGGAAGTCTCTCAAAATAACAAGACAAAGAGTGAAAATAAGGGAGGAAAAGATAGGATTAGGGATCAAGCCCAGCACGCAGGCACCTGGAGTTCTAGAAGGAGCAGCTCAGAAAACAGTGTGGGGAGGGAGGAGTCGCTGGAATGTGGCAGAGGTGGTTTTTATCAGAGAAATAATACGGTGCATTTCCCTGCCCTGGAGGGCCTGCTGGACCTTGTTGGGCCCCACAGGTTCACCGTGGCCACAGCACCTTGAAGACCCTCAAGGCCACACAAGAGGCAGGGACCAGAGAAGCCCCCAGCCCCTTCCCACAGTGTGCAGCCCTCAGGGAGGTCAGCGAGTCAGACCAGGGCCTCGCTGGGAGTCACTGCGCGCACAGCAGCACTGAGGGGATGCTGAGGGAAGAACTCAACACCCAACTGCCAAACGAGAACTTTCCTTTTACTCATTCATTTTTTTAAAGACATTTTATTTATTTGAAAGGCAGAGTTACATAGACAGAGAGGGAAAGACAGAGCAAGGGGTCTTCTATCTACCAGTTCACTCCCCAGATAGCTGCAACAGCCAGGTTTGGGCCAGGCCAAAGCCAGGAGCACAGGGCCCCAAACACTTGGGTCATCTTCCATTGCTTTCCTGGGCGCATCAGCAGGGAGCTGGATTGGAAGTAGAGTGGCTGGGACTCAAACCTGCGCTCCTATGGGAAATTGGCATCAAAGGTGGCACCTCAACCTGCTATGCCACAGTGCCAGCCCCACATGCAGAATTTTAAAAAAAGGCATTTCTGGGCTGGTGCTATGGTACAACAGGTTGAGCCACCAGCTATGATGCCAGACCCCATATGGGAGCGCCAGTTTGAATGCTGGCTGCTCCGCTTCCAATCCAGTTCCCTGCTAATGTGCTGGGGAAGGCAAAAGGAGATGGACCCCCACATCCACATTGGAGTCTGGATGGAGTTCCTGGCTCCTGTCTTTGACCTAGCCCAGTCCCAACTGTCACAGCCATCTGGGGAGTGAACCAGCAGATGGAAACACTCATTCACTCATTCTCTCTCTCTCTCTTTCCTCCTCCATCTCTGTATTTCTGTCACACAGCCTTTTTTTTTTTTTTTTTTTAAGATTTATTTATTTATGTGAAAGGCAGAGTTACAGAGAGGCAGAGAGAGAGAGAGGAGGGTCTTCCATCCACTGGTTCACTCCCCAGATGGCCACAATGGCCAGAGCTGTACCAATCTGAAGCCAGAAGCCAGGAGCTTCTTCCAGGTCTCCTACAAGGGTGCAGGGGCCCAAGCACTTGGGCCATCTTCTACTGCTTTCCCAGGCCATAGCAGAGAGCTGGATCAGAAGTGGAACATCCAGGACTTGAACCAGCGCCCATATGGGATGCGGGCACTACAGGTGGTAGCTTTACCCGCTAAGCCACAGTGCCAGCCCCTCTCTGTAACACTGCCTTTCAAAGAAATAAAATAAATCTTTAAATAAAATTAAGAAACATCTCTGGCAAGCAAGGTCTCACGTGACTTATTTCCTAAGCACTGCTCTCAGGAAGTTATTGGTGGGTGTGCTTCAGCAGAGCGAGTCAGGGAACCAAGGAGGCTGGGGGCAGGGCGCTCAGCCCTGCAGGAGCAGGGAGTTCCCAGGGAGGGCGGGGTCTCAGTAATGAATTCCGTGGGGAGCTCCCGGAGGCCCGACTCCGGGAAGAAAACTGAGCAGCTCCTGGGTTGGAGAGTGCGGCGTTGGGGAGGGTCCTTGTCCTACCCTTGCAGCTGACTGGAAAGGAGATGCCTTCAGCCAGGATTATCCTGGCTTCGGCCAAATGCTGGCAGATGCTGGCAGGATGCACCCTGCCTCTGGAGAAAGCACACCCAGCCAGAAGTCCCGGATGGTCAACAATGCGAGTATGCAGAAGGAGGTCCTGCAGGGTCAAGTACAGCCAGAGCCATCCAGGGAAAGTCCTGGCCCACATCCAGTCTCGGGCTGCCTTCCGGAAAGCTGCTGCAGCCTCCTGCCCGCGGGGACTCACGCACCCTGCCTGCCCCTCCAGACGCCCCGGGAGTACAGGGTCAGAAGTGGGTGGGCTCCCACACTTCACTCCCAGCTGGCACCAGGGTGTCGCACTCACCGCCACGTGCCCGCCCTCCTCGCTGAGGAACCGCCGGACATCACGGAGGGCTGCCAGGGCACACTGTCTTCAGAGGAGAGAACACAGGGTCAGCCCAGCACCAGGCCTAAGGAAGCAGCGACACAGCCCACCAGACACGAGAGCAGACGGCCCCAGGTCCCCTCCTCTCTGGTTAATCTCCTTTTCTCAGGGAAGGCGCTGAGGCAGAGCAGGTGGGGCGGCCGCCTACAGTGCCGGCATCCCATATGGGCACCGGTTCTAGTCCCAGCTGCTCCACTTCCTACCCAGCTCTCTGGCCTGGAGAGCAGCAGCAGATGACCCAAGTCCTTGGGCCCCTGCACCCATGTGGGAGACCTGGAAGAAGCTCCTGGCTCCTGGTTTCGGATAGGCCCAGCTCTGGCTGTTGCGGCCATTTAGGGAATAAATCAGCAGATGGAGGACCTCTCTCTCTCTCTCTCTCTGCCTCTCTGTAGCTCTGCCTTTCAAATAAATGAATAAATCTTTCAAAAAAAAAAAAAAAAAAGTTGCTTTTCTCAGGGCCGGTGCTGTGGCACAGCCTGCAGCACCAGCATCCCACACGGGCACAGTTCGAATCCTTGTGATCTTCCTGTGCCCCAGTGATCTTTCAATTCAAGCCTAGAGTGTGTTCTTCTGCCAAAAATCTGAATTCGGAGCATCCAGGGAACCAGCAAGGCTGCGGCTAGTTCTCACCACCTTCATTTAGAGCCCCACGTTCTAGGCTAAGATCTCTTTCGTGGGCTGCCTGGACTGTGGCTCCACCGTGGGGGAGGAATGTCGGGGCTCCAGGGGAGTCGCTGGGGAACAGCCCAGGAGCCTGGGTGTACATGTGTGTGTATGTATGTGAGTGGTGCCTATGTGGGGGCATGGGGAGTGTGCACATGTAAACGTGTGAGTGAGCATGCACGAGTCCCCGGGCCACGTGAGTGCAGCTGTGTATGCGCACTTGATGTGCCAGGCCCTCATGTCACACAGAACTAAATGGGCACAGGTATGAATGGGCTGTGTGTGTTCACCCACATGCACAAGAGGAGGTTTTCGTATGTGCCCTAGCCTGTGCTCATGTGCATAGGTGCACACAAGCACGTGTGTGCCTGTGTGTGTACTTGCCAATGAGTATGGCGTCTGACTTAGGAGTGAGGGCACAGAATGAATGAACACAAATGTTCACGAGAGGGTGCCCACATGCGTGTACACACACTCACATGCTACGACTATAAGCACAGGGATGCGCATGCATGTTTACTCAAGTGTACACACAGGGTGCACATGCGTGTCCAGACGTCTGCACAAGGCATGCATGTGCATGTGTGTGCCCACACGTATGGCACAGGATCCCATGTAGGAAGACGGGTTTGTCTGCTGGGGCAGGTGTGCCCGTGGTCTGCGGTGCACGCAGTCTGTGGAGGCACATTTCTAGAACTTCTACTCTGCCCAGATGAGACCCCGACACTGCGCAGCCCTAAAGACTTCGACTGCGCATGCTCGGGGAGATGCAGCCTTTCCTCCCAGCTTTTCCATTTTCTAAACTTCTGATCCTTTTATTTTACTTATGAGAAATTTGGGGGTGAATATTGGGCAATGTTTAGTAGCGTCAAGTCTGGGCTTTGCTATTTTGGGTGAGACTGGCTTGCCTGTGCCTCGGTTTTCTCATCTGTAAAATGGAAGGCGTGACCTGGCTGTCAAGCCCCAGCACACACGAGCTGTGTGGGTCACTCTCCCCCTTCTGTCTGGCTCCATACCACCAGAGGGCACAGCATTGTACCTCACCCACTATTTGGCCACAGAAACCTGAACTTCAAACTCCACTTCCCTTCTTGGTGCCTTAGCCTGGCCCCGCGCCAATAAGGAAAGGGCGGAGGTGACCTGAAGGTGCAAGCCCTACAGTGGGGAGTGCCTGACACCTAGCGGCCAGAGCAGGAAAAGGAACAAGCATTCCACAATTCAGACCCGGAAGGCAGAGGGGTGGTTTCTGCCCTGGAGCTGGGCTTAATTTGGGGAAGTCATTAGGGCCGCGCCAGCTTGATCACTGCTCTACCATCCGGACTGGGCCCAGAGTGATTCTCTGCCACCCACGGCTAAAAAGTGGGCATCTTGATCCCCCACCCAGCTCCCACCAAGAAGGGCAGAGCACAGCTCCTTAGACCACTCAGTTTCTTAGAAAAGCACTCAGTTCAAGTCAGAACCAGTGTGTGTGTGTGTTTGTGTGTGTGTGTGTGATTATATGCAAATTCTACCTTCTGAGTAATGACAGGTATGTGAACTACTCACCCAGCAACATCTAGACACCATCAAAGCAAACTCAAGGCCTATCTCACACGTGCCAAGAACACGTGAAACATCCTCCCAATATAAAGGAAGGAACAGGGAGGAGGGTTCCACCCTGCTCCATCCCTGAGGCCTGCATCCCTGCACCCACTCAGGCTCCTCTCCCCATCGCAGCCATTCCCATCGAGGGCGGGGGTAAGTGAAGGTGACTGCCACATGGCAGCTGCTCCCCCGCCCTGGCCAGGCCTTCATCCCCCCGCAGCCCTGCACTATACTCTCACAGCATGTCCCTACCCTGACAACCAGGGCAGGGGCAGGCCAGCACCAGGCCACACGCCTCCCTCTCTCATCACCAAACCCATCACATCCCAACCCCTCCATGTCCTGGGAGGTCAAGAGACTAGCTCTGTCACACAGGGGCTGGGACAGGGCAAGGCCAGGTTCATTCACCAGCAACTGGCTCCAGCCCCCAGGGCTCCTCAGTTAACGGGCAGTAACTTGCTAGCCTCCCTTTCCCCCCAACAAACACACACATGCACACTTACTTCCTGATTCTCAGCCCCTCTTCATTGTCTGGGAGGAAAAACTCAAATGATTTGTACGTCCTGACCATGTCCCGGCGATACTGGCCAACATTGAATTCTGGAGGGAAGGAGAGGCCCAGCATTCATCGTAATTCCTGACTTTGACCCATCCCCAGGCCTCGCCCACCGTCCAGCCTTCTCCCTTCTCTCCCACCCCCACCCCCATCCACAACGTCCCCTTAGGCAGCCGGGGCCAAGCCTCACCCCGAGTGGGCACACCGATCCAGTTCAAGTATCGAGTCAGCTTCTTAGAGATGTAGGTCTTGCCCCTGGCAGGCAGACCCACCATGACAATGAGCGTCGGGCAGTTGGTCATGCACACTGGAAGGCAAGCAGCAGGCAGCGTCAGACGTGGCAGAGTCCTCCCGGGGCGTTCCTCCCGCTCTCCCTGTCTGTGCTCCCGCAGCCTCAGGGCGCAGGACTGGCACCGACATTCTTTCCTGGCCTCCTGCATTGCACAGCTCCCCAAGCACCATCAGGTGCTGGTTTGAAGCCACTGCTCCACGTCCCCCTTCCCCAGGCCTGTCTGGGCTCCGGCAGATGTCAAGGGAACCTGTCAGCCCTTCTTAGCCTGACACACCGCAGCCGGACACTGCTGGGAAGCTGGGCAGAGCCAAGACCCAGCAGGACATTCTCTGGGCGGATCCACCCCTAACCTTCCCTCCTCTCCCTCAGCCCCTTGATCCTGTAGCATTCCCAGCATGCAGTCTGCTGCTGCCCTCTCTGTGGTGCACTTCTTTTCAAGTTTTTAAAGTTTATTTGAAAGGTACAGTGACAGGGAGAGAGAAAGAAGGAGACAGAGAGAGAGAGAGAGAGAGAGAGATCTTCCACCTGATGGTTCACTCCCCAAACGGCCGCAATGGCTGGGGCTGGGCCAGGAGCCCAGAACTCCATCAGGGTTTCCCACAAGGGTGCAGGGACCCAAGCACTTGGGCCATTCTCTGCTGCTTTCCCAGGCTCATTATTGGGGGGTTGGATGAGAAGTAGAGCAGCCAAGACTGAAATTGGTGCTCATGTGGGATGCCAGAGTCACAGGTAATGGCCTGACCCACTGCGCCACAATGCCAGTCCCCGGTGGCATTTCTTTTCACAAAGCCCAGTTCAAAGCTGCTTCCTCAGTGGGTTCTTTCTCCACGGCACATCCCTGCCCACCTAACGACCCTTGGTCCTGCTCTCTCTCGACATATCACTTGTAGCAGAAGCAGCCCTGCAGTACCTGAGCTGTTCAGGACCCAGAGCCTGTACAAAATCAGTGTTCAAGAATTACAGGCAGGGGCCAGCGCTGTGGTGTAGCAGGTAAAGTCACTGTCTGCAATGCCGGCATCCCATATGAGCGCCAGTTCAAGACCTGGCTGCTCTACTTCCGATCCAGCTCTCTGCTACGGCCTGGGAAAGCAGCGGAAGATGGCCCAAGTATTTAGATCCCTGCACCTGTGTGGCAGACCTGGCAGAAGCTCCTGGCTCCTGGCTTCAGACCAGTGCAGCTCCGGCCATTGCTGCCATTTGGGGAGTGAACCAGCAGATGAACCCTTCTCTCTCTGCCTCTGCCTCTCTGTAACTCTGCCTCTCAAGTAAATAACTAAATCTTAAAAAAAAAAAAAAAAAAAAAAAAAAAAAAAACAAAAAACTTCAGGGAGCAGCAGGGAAGGAGCCATCTACAGAGCTGAGCAGGGAGGGAGCATCCCGAAGCCTGAGCACCGGGGCTGGCGCAGCGGCACGGTGGCTTCAGCATCCGCCTGCGACACCAGAGCCAGTTCAAGCCCCAGAAGTTCCGCTCCCTGTAATGGCCTGGGAAGGCAACAGAGAATGGCTCCAGTGCTTGGGCCTCTGCGCCCACATGGGAGACCCAGAATGGAGTTCCAGACTCCTGCCTTTGGCCTGGTCCAGTCATTGAGGCCATCTAGGGAGTTGACCAGAGGGTAGATTTCTCTCTCTGTAACTCTGCATTTCAAATAAATAATAAAAATAAATACGTAAGTAGAAGTCTGAGCAGGGAGGAAGCATCTAGAAGACAGACCTGAGAGCAGACACAAGGCCAGTCCTGACGGCCCACCCGCCACAACCCTGTGTGCCACCAGTCAGTGTGCCACGCCCGAGGCTCCTCCGGTCGCGGCTGGCAAGGACGGCGCTGCGGGCAGCACAAGGGTCAGCCTCGGTGACCAGCGCAGCTTTCAAGGCAGCTAAATGCAATGCAGTTTGACCTCAGAAACCTCAGGAAACTTCCCCTTCACCGTCTGAGGATCTGGGCCAGTAAAGCCACAGCAGACAGACAGACAGCAAATGTGGGGACTGCCACTGTCCCTCTGCCCACTTGCTCTGCCTCCATGTGTGTCCCAAGACAGGCGGCTGCACTCCCACCCCTCCCAAAGCACAGACGTCCCAGGGGCAGCTCCACAGGGGGTCCAGTGTCAGACAGGCTCTGGCTTCCAATCTTGACTCTGACATTGGCTGGCAACTCTGAGCCTTCGTGTCCTCACCTGTATAATTGGGTGACAATCCCTCAGCGAGAGCACTAACCCCAAGCCTGAGCCCTTCAGGGAAGCTCTGGCCTCTGCCTCGCCCTAGCAGGTGCACCTCAGCCCAGGGTGCCCTTGGGAGCAGGGGTGTGGCAGCGGCTTGCCGCCTCAGGCAGGACCTACAGAGAGGCGAGGGGGTGCTCCATCACACCTGTGCACGCTTTTGTGCAAATGCGAGCTCCGAGGCTCCAAGGGAGGGCAGGAGGGGACCCTGCAGGAACTTGCAGAAAAACCTCAGCATTGGCTAAGTGCAGAAAACAAGTTGGGCAAGGCTCGTGTCCTCAGGGCCAGCAGATGGCCAGGGCCTGCCTTGTTTGCACAACTCCCAGCCAGGGTGACCAAGGCTCTGAGCAGTGCACCAGTTACTCACCAGGGGGAAGAACCTGCAGCCACACTGCTCCCACGATGAGGCCACTCCCTCCCAGAGCCCCCTCAGGGGCACTCCCATGCCTGAGGGCCCCGTGCTGCACCTCTCTTCACACCTTCTCACCCTACAGATGCCCCAGGCTCCTCCCATGCTGTTTGGTGACAGCCCCCTCTCCCCACTCCCACCCACATGCAAGGTGGGCACACAGGGCAGCAACTCAGGCCTGGGTACAAAACAAGGCCATAAATCAGCTGTCACCTCTGCTCCTCAAGATAGGCTCCCCAGGAAGTGACCCAAAAGAAAGCCAAAGTTCAAGTACATTCCAGCAGCTCTGCTGACAACAGCACAATGCGGGGAAAACGGAGAAATTGCAACCTGAGGCACAAGAAGGAAGGGACACACTCCAGGCCTTGAAGCAGAGGGCATGTGGACCGCGTGAGCTGGGATGGGTGGCCGGGACCGCAGCGCGCACACAGGACAGCAGAACACACCGCTGACCACACTGGGCATATGCAGAAGGAACTCTGAAGGCACAGGGACCCAGCTTCCCTCACTGCTCCCTCTCCTGCAAACCTGCAGAGGCCCCAGGCACCAGGAAGGCTGAGACGGGCCAGGCAACGGACAGTGCCTGCCTATCTCCTGGCACATCCGCAGCGGGAGCAGCCCGAAGCCCCGGGGTGGGTTGCAGACTGATTCCTGAACAGCACCTGCTCCCACCTCTGGCTGGCGATCAAGTCAACTCCCACCTCCTCCAAGGCTCCTTCCTGCCTGTTCAGAAGCCCACCGTGCAGGGGGTCACCCTGCAGGAGGGCAGGGACCAGGATCCCGCGCTGCACAGACAGGGCCCCATCCCTCACTGCTCATCCGCTCCCTGCCGCCAACCCCAGGCCTGGCCCAGACCCCCAAGCAAGCTGTACATCTCAGCTTTGGCCTCTTGGGTGCCATCTCCTCCACCCAGAAGCCCAAGCTTCTCCAACACCCCGAGACGCCGTGACAAGCCCTTCTGCTCCAGCCATGGTCAATTTCAGTCCACATTGGAAGGCTGGAGTGCACCCTATTGGGCCTCCGCTCCCTTCCCACCTGTAATGGGGGTCGGCTCGGGCTAACGGCTCAGTGCCCAGCACAGGTGTAGTGAGAAACAGAGAGCGGGTGGGGTAAGGAAGAGACCCACTTGCACTGAGTGAGGACTGGCTCGCTAGTGCACCTAGGGCTGCTGTCTCACCCCACAGGGCAGCCAGCACGCAACGTCAGGGCTTCTGCCTCCAAAGCCCAGGGCCTCACTCCCTTTTCGTAATAACAGCAGCCACCCCCTGGTTAGTACCACACAGCCCTAGCAGCACAGGACGGAGGGGCTTCAGCCTCCACACTAACAATAGAGTCTCAAAGGAGAGCTGGCCAGCCTGTGGCCACAGCACCTCGGGACTGGGCCTCCACGTATGGCTCCCACTGCTTCTCAGTCAGAGCCACCAGGACCCACCAGAACGCAGTGTGGTCAGAACCTGGCCGCCACACACACACACACACACACACACACACACCAGCCTGAACTGACAGCACCGTCAGAGCCATGGGCCCAGCGAGGCCTCAGCAGGAGCGTAGAGCACTCTCCTCACCCTTATCATAAACACGCGGCGGCCAGGAGTGCAGGGACCTGCACATCCCACAACCTCCGACGGCCATCTCCGTATCTTTCCTACCAGTTGTACTTGATGTGCTCTGAGAGCCCTGCCAAGTAGCAAATTCAGACAATATTACAGCAACTCCTAAAGGGAATCTTTTTGTTGATTATAAGGAAAGTTGCAGACTCATTTAAGACAGGCAGAAAGTCCAGGACGGGGATTAAACACCCAGGAGGCCAGGAGAGGTGAGTCCCTTAGCAATTCCGCGTTTCGACACTAACTCCTAGGTGCTCCTTCCTCCAGGGTGACCACTCACCCTGGAACCCACATGCATGCTTACGAGCCCCAGAGACAGCGCCAGATGGCCTCGTCTTCTGTCTCTATCCTGAGCACATCTGGACTGCCCTCAAGTTCCCCCAAAAACTCGGTCTTAAGGCCAAGAGATACCCTTCCTCTTTCTACAGGAACGGCCCTCATTTAGGCCTTTGGACATTCTAGGCTGAGGCCAAGACAGCTCAGTGTGCACCCAGGCCCACACAGCTCAGTTCTGGGTCAGAACACACCATCTGGCCACGAGAGGAAAGTCACGCCCAGGAAGTCCTCTGTTTGCCAGGGGCAAGGGGGCCAGAATCCTCCTGGAGGTGACGGTGGCCCGACCTGGGCCCTACCGAGCTGACATGCCCCACACCTGTCTGTCCCCTGCTGCGCCACACCTGTCTTCCGCGCACCACTGTCATATCCGCCTCACCTGTTCCCAGCCACTCACCTGCCCTCCGCCTCCTCCCCCGGGGTCACAACGGCCTCACCTGCCCACGGTTCCTCACCTGCCCCCTTGCCCGCTGTCCACGTGAGACACCGCCCAGGCGTCCCTGCCCACCCATCCCGGTGCACGTCCTGGCCCCTGCCCGAGGACCCCGCCTCACCACCGCGCTGGCAGGCGTGCAGAGCCGGCCTCCCATTGCTGTACGGCATCCAGATCTTCTTCAGGGGGTTCTGGGTCAGTTCCCGTGGGGACGCCATCCCGGGGTCGGGATGCGCCGGATTGCGCCGCTTCAGACCCAGCAGCCGGGCCACCTCGGGCCACCCGAGGTCCCGCCCCTCGCGCCCCGCCCCTCCTCAAGCCGCAACAACTCTTGTCCATCTTCCCGCAGGTCCCGCCCCAGAACGAATAGGCTCCACCCCAACGGAAGGGGCCCTAGTCTCCGATTACGCATGCCCAGCTCGCTTGCAGGCCCTTTTTGGACCAAGCGGGCCCCATCCTTCATGCCAGGATCGAGAAGGCGCATGCCCAGCTCCCGGCGGGCTCAAGGCCCGCATTGCCCAGGCCCCGCCCCGGATGGGCGGGCCCCTCCGCCCAACCCGACCGAGCTTATTTGCATAGGCCCCGCCCCCGCGGTTCCTGGGGCTTCCGCTGCCTGCTGGTGCTTGACCTCAGGGACCCGGGGAGAGGAGGCGAGGGTTGCGTGACTCGCAGGGCCGGGTTGGTCAGCACCAGCCCAGCGGCCCCTGGGCTGCTGTCCCGGCCGTCAGTGCCGCCGTGCCTCCCTGGCGCTGCGCCGAGGCCCCTTTATCTCGGGGACAGGGACGCGGGACAAGTCCTACAATCCGTCCTGTTTTTTTCTCTGGGACTTGGCGGCGGGGGAGCTCAGGCTAAACTCCCCAACACCCCCCGAAATAAACGCGCGGGACCTCGTGATCAAGTTCTTTGGGGACTCACTGAGCCCTAGCAGGATCTTCATTCTCCTTCCAGGATTTCATTTGTACCAATTAAATTTTTAATCATGAGTTACGCATTTTTTTTTTAATGAGCTTCTGTCTCTTCATCAGGAAAATGGAACGCACACGTCATCAGTCTTACAAGATAATGATACAGATTAGATGTGTCAATCGCTGAGAAAGCCATTCTGAAACACTTCGGGGTTCTCATTTATTGCATTTTCAAAACAGGGGTAGATAAAAAATGTATCGGAGGCAAGAGGCAAGGGTAAGACCCCCAAGTCCAGAACCCTTTGCTGGGCCGGTGTTTGGCTCCTACCCAGCCTGTGGTCCCTGCCCCCTCGGCCTCCCCAGCCCCTCTTCCCCCAGCTCCACGGGGTTCTGCCGCAGCCTCACCACCCGGGCCTGGACGCGGGCCACACTGCCCTCTAGCGAGCGATGTGCCCCACCACAGCCCTGGCGGGGTCCTGCATCTCAAGCCCTCTCTGCCCAGTGTGTGCCCAGTTAGGAGCCAAGTGCTAGTGGCGTGTCCACAGGGTGGCCTCGTGCACACGGGTGCAGTGTCCCCTCCCCGTGCCTGCCTTGGGTCAGTCCTCCCAGTCACCATCGCAGCCTGGCAAGGATCCCTGAGATTTGCCCACTTCACAGGCAAGGAGGGTTCAGAAGCGTCTGCATGGACCCTCCCTGAAGCCAGCTCTAGGTACTTTTTCTGGAGAATGTCCTGCCCTACCGAGAGTCGGCTACTTCCTCCTTCCTCACCCTTCTGTGCAGCGTCTACGCACCACCTCTCTCTAAGCCCCACCCAGAAGCACAGCCGTGGGTGGCTCCCGAGGAGCCTGCCACCCTTCGTGACCATCCACCTGTTCCTTACCCAATGCTATTCATTCCGTCCCTGACACAGCCGAACTTCCTGTCTGTCTGCTGATCACCGCCAAGGTCATCTCAGGGCCATCCTGGTCTCAGAGACCTCCACGCCACACGCCCACACCCTGTCCAGCCACCAGCGTTCATTGCAAGGCTGCCTCATCTAACAGCCCCCCCAGAGGCCCGCGTGTTCTCGTCCCCAGTCCTCCTGGACATTAGTTGGGGGCAGCCAGGACCGGGCAGGGGGCCAGGGAAGTCTCTGGGAAGCCATCCCACAGCCAGTCTGAACCTGGTTCCCTAAAATGCTGTGGCTCTGCACCTCCTACTCTTCCCCAAACAGTCTGACCCTGGGCTGACCCAGCCACAGCCTCGCAAGTCCCTGTCCTCAGCTGAGAGGCCAGGGGTCAACATCAAGCATCTCTACCTGACCTGAAGATTCCCATCTCTTCTCCCGTGGCCTCATTCCCCAGGTAGCAAACAGGATGGACTCAGGTCAACCCCCAGCCCGTCCAAACCTCACCTCCTGTACCTGGCACCTGCACCGTCGCTGTGCTTCCCGCCTCCAGCCCCGTGCCCTTCCTGCTTCCCTCCATGGAAATGCCGTCCTGGCTTGCCGCTCCCTCAGCCTCAATGGTTGCCCAGGCAACGAGCCCTTGCGCTTCTTCAGGGCATCTCAGAGTGAGCCAGCGACCCTGTCCCCAGCACGGGCAGTGTGTGGGGCTGTCAGCGAGCATCCATGCATGGACACGTTCTGCTCAGCCTGTGCCCACCACTGCACTTGGGTGGGTGGCCTGATCCAGGTGGATTCCCGTGGCACCTCCTGCACTGAACACTGGCCCCCCTCCCAGTGCTCTAGGCTACAAGCCAGGGGGTGGCCAAAGTCCTCAGTCCATGTTCTCAACGTTCACACTCTTCCTGGCACCCGTATCTGCTGCCTGGGGCACCACCCTTTGCAGCATAAAGACCCCGGGCCCCGGTGCATGTCATACAGACCCCCATAGCAAGGCAGAGAAGCACGCGTGTGTACACACACACACACACACACACAAGCCCGGCAGCCAGACCTGTGCAGACAGGCGTACCGTAGGGAGCCTACTGCTGTCTGCTGCTGCCCCCCTTCCCCTCATCTCCACCCCCGCCCCCCGTGGTGGGGTTTCTAGGAGTTCCAGCTTCCTCTGGCCGGTTCCAGGAAGGAGTGTTCCCAGTGTCCTCTGGGGCCCGGAGCGCACAGGGAGTACAAAGCTCTGACTTGGGGACTGGGGTTCGAGAGCTGTGTGGCTGGGCAACCCTGGCGAACCCTGCCCTTCCTGATTCTTGTCTGGCACAGGCACACAGTAGGTGTTCAGAGTGACTTGGGAGCAGCCAGGACACACAGAAAGTGCTCAGAGAGCCCATAGTAGGTGTTTAGAGAAACTCAGGACTGGCGTGGGACACACAGAAAGTGCCCTAAAAAGGCTGGTTTAAGGGCTAAGGGCACATCATTATGCAAAACTTCCCAAATGAGCCTCTGGACCTCCCAAGCTGGTGCAACCCCTGAGGAGTACCTGGACCAACATAACCCCTGGGAGGCCAGCGAGGGGCAGAGCTCGAGGGCCGCGGGCAGCTCCAGCTGGCCGTCCCTGCCCCTGGGCTGGAGGAAGGCACTATTTATAGCTTCCCCTTGGCCCAGCCTCCTCTCCTCTGCGCGGCGACAGAGTTCCCCCTCCTCCAGGCGACTGACAGTCTGATGCCCCCTCAGAGCACCCCTTTACCAGGAGAGACCCCCACCCCTCTCAGTCCCCCCCCAGTACCACCCTCACTGCATCTTGGTCTTTTCCAAGTGCCCCATCCTCCCCGCGCTGCCCCGCACCTACCCTGCCTGCGGCACCCCGGGTCCGTCAGAGAGCTGCCTCCTAACGTGCCTCTGTCCATCCTGCCACCGAACTGGCCCGGGCCACCGCCCCCTTTGGCTCCCGAGTAGGGAGCCCCGCCCCTGCAGGCTCCGCGAGGGCAGCCCCGCCTCTTCAGCCGCCTTGGGCACGCCCCCCAGGCTGCTTACAACCGCGAGGTTAATGTCCGTGCCCCCACCCCAGGCAGGCAGCTGCCCTCCTGCCACCATCACCTCTGTCCAGTCAGAGGGGCCCATGCTGCCGGGGTCTGCCCTTGCCTCCAGCTGGAGTGGTCTACACAACGCAGAGACCCTGCCGGACCCTCAGCAAGCCCGTCCACACTGCCCTGAGAGTCAGCCCTAGCTCCAGCCCTGCGATGTCGCAGCTGGAGGTGTGAAAGAAGACGAACTCCTCCCTGCACACTAAGGAGGCAGGTGAGATTAAAAGGCAGGGAGAGGGTTAGGACGTCAGCTACAATACTCACGTCCCGTCTTGGAGTGCCTGGGTTCAAGTCCCAGCTCTGTTTCGTATTTTAACTTCCTGCTAGTGCACACTCGGGAGACAGCAGGGCATGGCTCAGGTACTTGGGTCTCTGCCAGATGCAGTTCCAAGTTCCTGGCTTTGGCCTGGCCTGGCCTTGGCAGTTGCAGGCAACTGGGGAGTGAACCAGTGAATGAAGGTCTCTCTCCGTCTCTCTGCCTTTCAAATCAATGGAGAAAACGGGGGTGGGAGGCAGGGAGGGAGGGTGGGCAGAAGGGCCGGGAAGCCAGATGTGACTCAGCCATGCGTCCCTGCCTGGTGCACGTGAGTGTGTGGCTCCTGGGCACCCCGGATCCAGTCACGTCACATTTATTGGACGCTTCCTGCAGCCAGAACCTGCCTGTCACTCACGAGAAACGGGGTGACATGACTCTGACTTGCGATGAGGAAGTGGAGGCTCTGAGAGGTGAACCCCGCTGCTCAGGACACTTCTGTGAGGAAGGTGGGGGGTTGGGCTGCAGCCCCACAGCCCGAGCCCCATCCCTGGAGCCGGGTATATGGGGGGAGGGCCAGACAGTGCCCAGTTCTGCGATGTGTGTGCTTCCCACGGGTCTCAGGACGAAGCGCCTTCTCCTCCTACGTCCTCACACCCCCTCACAGCTGTCAGGCCTAGGGCAGGCAACACTGAGCCCACAGGCACCTGCACACGCGCGCGGGCAGAGGCTGCCGTGTCACAGCCCCTGCACCGCTGCCTGTGCCTGGAGAGGCCCCTGGTGGCCCCACCCCTTGGGGGTAGGTGCTGCCCACGGGCACAGACCCTGCAGCAGCCCTCAGCTAGCACTCCCAGGTGCTGGCCTGCGATGGCGGGGAGGGAGACCCAGCCCCACGGGCTTTGGATGGGCTCCCGAAAGTCACAGGGTGGCCACCGCCTGTGGTGGTGTCCAGATGCTGCGTGGCGGTGGGGCCCCTAGACCTGGCAGGACCCCCCCCCCAGCAGTGGCCATCCCCAGCAGTGACCCGACATAGAGATGGCCAGCTGTCCATTCCCACCGTGACTCCGGGGCACTCAGACGTAAGATGACACCACTTGGCAGAGGTCCCACACAGCAGTGTCCAGAAGCACTCTGCCCAGATGTGACATCATCCAGCTCTGTCATCATCCTCCAAGTCTTTTCATCCATTGCTGCCCCCCCACCCCCCAGCCCCAGCTCAGGCTCAGCGGCGGCCAACCTGGGCCAGGACACGGGCGTTGGTGGCAGCCCGCTGGCTGGCAGCTCTGGTCCGGGCCTGCTCCAGTAAGACTTGCAGGAGGCCGATGGGGACATCCAATGAGAGGGTGATGCGTGGGCCGTGGCGGGCGCTGGGGCTGCGGTAGCCCCAGGCAGCTGGGGGGCCCGTGGTGGTGGCTGGGGGGCTCTCCCAGGCCACAGGACTGGGAGTGGTCTGGGGACGGTTCTGCGGGAGCAGCTGGAAGGCTGGGAGAGGGGTCACTGGGGCAGCCAGGACCCTACCCAACATCAGGACCAAAAGCACCGGCAGAGCCCACCTGGTCATCGCGTGCTCAGGCTGCAAGGAGAAAAGAGGCTCAGCCCTGGTTCATGGACAGAGACTGCGAGATGGAGATTCGAGCGAGAGAGGCTGCAGGGCCAGAGGCACGGAGACAGAGACGAAGAGACAAGACAAGAAAGGGAAATCAAGGCAGAGTCAGAGAAGGGGGCCAGGGAGACAAAGGCTGAGAAGGAAACGGAGATGTGGGGCAGAAAGAAAGATGACAGAGTGATGGACAGACAGACAGATGCAGCGGGAGGAGGAGAGGAGATTAATGAGATGCAAGCACATCGAACTAGAGGGAAACCGGAGGAAAACGAGACAGAAAGCATCCCAGAGACAGACCACACGACGGAAATAAACATTTCAGAAACAGAAACAAGAACGGGAGGCTCCGAGCTTCTAGCAAGAGCTCGCAGCTGACGCGCGGGTGGGGGTGGGGGGTTCTGTGCAGAGGAGCAGCCAGAGACCCCAGCGAGGCCCAGGCCCCGAGACCTCCACCTACCCAAAACCCGGGTCCATTCAATCCCCAAGACCCCTCCCATCCCAACCGCACCCCAGTCCTACCTCTAGGGGCTTCCTCCAGGAGTCGGGCTGCTGGGGCTGGGCCCAGGCAGTGCTGTCGGGCGTCTGAGCTCTGCCCACTTCAGCACCCATTTATCTCCCCCGACTCGCCAGGGTGGGAGCAGCAGCAGCCCCCCGCCCGTGACTCATGCCTCCTGGGGAGCGGTGAGGACACGTCCTCAGCCCTGACCCGATCTACTCCTTTCTGGGAACAAGCTGGGGACGGAAGGTCATAGGACAACGGCCAGGGCTGTGCAGGGGGACTCTGCCCACAGAGGACAGTGCTGCCCCCTCTGGGGAAATCTGCCCCCAACACCTCCAGCTCCCCAAAGAGTCACAACAGGGCCTTTTAAAACAGCAGCTTTAATGCCCCCCAGAATCAGCACCATGTCATCACAGTGTGGGTCCAGGAGCAGATCAGATGCCGGTCACCTCCGCTCACAGCCCACAGCCACCCCCACAGTGAGTCAGCTGCCACAATGGGGGCTTGTCCACAGGGGGCAGGCTGGACCCGTGGGACCAAGTCATGGAAATAACGGACACGCACTCGCACGCTCACGTGCCTCTAGCACCAAGGGGAGGGGCGGCAGGGCACAGCTGAGACCCTGGCTCCTCCAGGGGACGCTGAAGGTCAGCTCACGGTCAGGCCTTCAGCTCGGGGCAGCACCTGGGTAGGGCAAGTGGGGAACGATTTTCAGCCACCAGACCCCCTCCCCTGCGCGTAGGCCCAGAGCACCACCCAAGGCTGGAGGGGAGCCAGGGCGGAGCTGATGCCACAGCAGGGAGTGGGGCTCTGACCTCAGGGAGGGGCTCCATCCTCAGGTCTTCAGAGGAGGGACCAGGGAGGGGGACGTCCTGGGGGCTGCACCATGGGCTTCCGTGCTCAGTTCTTTGGGGTGGGGGCCCAGCCCAGGTCCCCCAGCCTGAGGGCACTTCTCACCCAGCCCTAAGACTCCTGACCCAGGCCCCCTAAGGTAACAGGGTGTGGGGATGCATACCTGTTCCTCCTGTTCAGGGGCTCTGGCTCACCCGGGGTGGGCAGCGGCGCTCACAGGCCTCACGGGTCCCAAAGCGGTTGGCATTTCCTCCGCAGCCACCATAGACAAAGGGACGACAGGCCTCGGTGCCGTGTGGCCCAGCCCGATGGTACCAGCGCAGGGTGTAGGCAGCACAGGAACCCTCATCCAGCGGCAGGGAGCAGGGGTCTGGGGCTGATCGGGGTCAGGTCAGCAGGGGCAGCGGGCATCAGAGAGGGGCTGGGGGCCATCAGAGGGGAGCAGGGGCCCGCGCTGCCTGCCCCTCCCCCGCCCCTCGGGCCCCAGCCCTCTTCTCACCACCAGCATCCCAGGGCGCCTCAGGGTCCTGGTACTCCTCCACGGAATACTCCGAGTACTCCGAGAACTCGTCGTCCTCGGGGGGCACCTGGCCTGCAGGTAGCGGGTGTGGGTGAGGGGCAGCCTGCCCTCGGTGTGCAGGCCTGGGACACCCTGGCCTCATACTGGAGTCCCTGCTTACTCCCAATCCCAGCTTCCCGCTCACGTGCACTCTGGGAGACAGCAGGCTCAGAGGGCTGGGTCCGTCACCCACATGGGAGGCCAGATGGCGTCCCCGGCTCCCAGTTTCTGCCTGCTCTAACCCTGGCTGTTGTGGGCATTTGGGACATGAACTGGCAAATGGGAGCTCTCTGTCTGTCTCTCTTGTCTTTTCAAATAAAGTTCATAAATAAAAGAAGTTTTAAGACCAGCATCCCCATTGTAGCTGCATGTGGGGCCTACCTACACGACACGTGCCCTGCACTCCCCGTGCCTGAGTCTGTGCCCCAGCCGGCAGTCCTTACCTTCGTCCTCTACGTGAGAGACGCGCAGCACGGGCACAGGGTACAGCTGGCGGCCGGCGGTGTCCGCCGCGTAACTAGGGAGGGGTCCTGGGACAAAAACGGGGGGCCCGGGGACCCCAGGGTCATCACGGCAGCCACCCCAGCCAAACCCCTGCTGGGAGGACCCTTGCGGCGGGCAGGGCAGGGCTTAGGGCGGAGAAAGTTCCAGGAGCAGAGAACTACTCACGTGATCCTGATGCACTAAATTGGCCCTGGCAGGCTGGGAGGGGGCAGAGCAGGCAGAGAGAGGGTGGGTGGATGGAGCAGCAGACCAAAAGTCAGAGGCACACAGGGGCGAGGGGGCAAGGGCAGAGACAGCAGGGGAGTGAGAGGCAGAGGCAGAGAGAGCGGAAGAAAGGCCAAGAAGAAGGAACCCAGGGTGGGAGGCAGGTTGGGAGCAGATCGCCAAGGGCAGGAGGCAAGGGAGAGACAGCAAGAGGAACCGGCAGGCATGGTGAGCGTGAGAGAGCAGCAGAGAGGGAAAAGAGAGACAGAACTTCACTCTGATGCCCCCAGGGAGTCACCACAGCCCCGACCTGGGGCCATGGCAGGCCCCGTGGGACAAACTGTGCTCCCGCCTCCACCCTCTTCCACACACGGCCACGCTGGACAGCCACGAACACCCCACGGCCATCCACAGCCGCCTCCCCCAGCAACATCCTGCAACCCAGGGCTGTCTGTGTGGCCGTCACTCCTCCATCCCCTTGATCACTGCTCCCCCCAGCACTCCTGGGGGCCTGTCTGCGCCTGCCCAGGGCCCTGGGGCCGGGCGGGGAGGCGACCCGGAGACTCGGGGCTCAGCCACACTCACCGCAGTGCTGACTCATCTCCTGACGCACAAAGGCCCGGATGTCGTCCTCCTGGGGGCACAAGGCCGCGAGGACCACAAGGAACGCATTGGGATCACAGAGGGGCAGCATGGGGTCAGCGCCCACCCAGGCCCACACTCACTGTCAAGGCAGCTTCTCCCTTCTCGCCTCGGGGGCCGGCAGGCCCTGGCCGCCCCTGTGCAACACAGGAGACCAAGCCGTGACCTGTGGTCCCTGGACACCAGACGCTATCTCTGTGTCTGATCCCCAGGCTGGAAATCCCCACTTACCTGCTCGCCTCTCTCACCAGGGGCCCCAGGGACCCCAGGGGCCCCCGCCACGCTCTCTCCTGGGGGACCTCGCTCACCCTGTGAGACACAAGGACCATGTGAACAGAGTCAGAGCCAGTGGGGTTCAGAAGTCAAGCAAGTTGAGGGGCTGGCATCGTGGTTAAGTCACCACCTGTGACGCCTGCATCCCATATGGACGCCGGTTCGATTCCCGGCTGTTCCACTTCTAATCCAGCTTCCTGTCAATGTGCCTAGGATGACAGTGATGACAGTGGAAGATGGACTAAGTTCTTGGGCCCCTGAACCTACATGGGGGACCCAGGTGAAGCTTCTGGCATCTGGCTTCAGCCTGGCCAAACTCTGGCTGTTATGACCATTTGGGGAGTGAACCAGTGGATGGAAGCACTCTCTCTCTCTCTCTTTCTGTGTCTCTGCCTTTCAAACCAATAAGTAAATATATATATATATATATATATATATATATATATATATATATATATATATATAGGTCAAGCTGGGGAGCAGGGCCTGAGGCCGGGGCAGGGAGCCAGGGGGAGGGGTTGCAGGCTGAGCCAGCGAGGGGGCAAGGGCAGAGGGCTCCGGGGGTTGGGTGGCAGAGCCAGGGCCTCACCTTCTGGCCCTGCAGTCCTTCAGAGCCTTTGGGGCCAACACTACCAGGCGGCCCCGGGGGACCAGGAGAGCCTTCATTGCCTCTGGGACCTGGGAAGCCCCCAACTCCTGCTGGCCCCTGGGGAGAGACGGGAGAGGGTCAGTGGCTGGAGCCACTCCCAGAGAGCACACTCCCCTCCAGGCACCGTGGCTTGGCTTGCACTCACCCGCTCCCCCTTCTCGCCTTGGTCACCCTTGGGTCCGGGCTGCCCATCGAAGCCTCGGTCACCCTGGAACAGAAATAGCAGGAGAGGCCCTCTGCCTTGGTTCCCTGAATTCCCACGAGCCCCGTGGCTGGTGCCCAGAGTCCCCCAGGACCCTTGCACCTGTGACCCTCCCAGCCATGACCCCGTGGCTTAGTGCACATAACCTCCACTCCAGCCCCCACCCCGAAAGGGACCCCAACCCCCAAGCCCCTACAGCGAGCTTCCCAGTGCCGTGCTGACCCCCCATCAAGTCCCCTCTTGGGAGACCCTGTACCTTGGGACCGATCAGGCCCTCCTTGCCAGGAGCCCCAGGCTGGCCCGGCACGCCAGGCTCCCCCTGGAGAGAAGAAGACATGAGCTGGGCCCTGGGACACCCAGCCCCTCCTCCCTCCGGGTGTGCCCCACACTCACCATCTCTCCTTTGCGTCCTGCCAGCCCCGGGCGGCCTGGCTGCCCAGCTTCTCCCTGCAGGCATCGGGTGCATAGATGAGCTTTGGCCCCAGGCCCTGTGGCCCCTCAAGCCCCTGGCACCTGTGTCCCTCGGCCCCCAAGAGTCCAACACCTCTATACCTTGTCTCCCTTCTCCCCATCGAGGCC